AACCAGGCAAAATATATTCAAGCTTTCTAATAGCTTCTTGACTTCTAACTTCATTTCTAATTTCTTTGCTGGTAACACAAGATAGTTTCATAACTCCCTTCATGTTCTCAAACTTTCCTTCCTCTAACGCCTTCTCTAAATCTGGCAATATTTCTGCTAATAATTTTTTTGCATTATTTACATTCTGTTTTAAATTTGAAATTACAACTTCGACAGAAACGGATTCTTCATCTTGCTTCCAACAATCATAATCGGTTGACATACATATCATTTGATAAGCAATTTCAGCCTCTTTTGCTAATTTTGCTTCAGGCAATGCAGACATATTAACAATGTCACATCCCCAACTTCGATATAAGTGTGATTCAGCTCTTGTACTAAATGCAGGTCCTTCCATACATACAGCCGTTTTGTTGCGATGTAAAGTAGTGTTTTCCCCAAGGCAATGTCGGTGGGAATAAATAATTTCGGCAAGTAATGTATTAAAAGGGTCGGCGAATGTTGTATGAGCCACGATTCCACCTTCAAAAAAAGTAGAAGGTCGAATTCCTTTTGTCCGATCTATAACCTGATCAGGAAGGATAAAGTCTTGATGCTTTATTTCTTCTCGAAGAGATCCAACAGCTGAAAAGGCGATAATAACTTCCACGCCAATATGTTTCAAGGCAGCTATGTTTGCTCTTGACGGCACTTCAGAAGGATTGTATTGATGTCCAATGCCATGTCGAGAAAGAAAAGCAATTTGAGAACCACGAGGGTCCTCAACTATAACGATGTTACTGCTAGGATAACCCCACGGCTATTATGTAATTTTAGTAATTATGAGTACAGTCATTCATACAAAATTTATCGAATTCTGGTTAACAACACTCACAGTTTCCGGACAAATCTCTCTTATCGGAGTTAAATGGTCAAAATTATAAAGTCCGCTTCCGCCAATAACCGCAATTTTGACAGCTTTTGTTTTATCCATTTAAGAGAGATATCTTAGATACCGATGAAACAAAAATGATAATGCTGAAATAAAAAATCCTATTGGCCAAACTTTGCGGATCATATGATCGACGCACTATGCATATGGGGGTCATAGACAGAAGTTCGTCTGATTGGCTAATGTAAATCAATTGCCCGGGTAACTTATTTATATGCTTTAAAGTAC